ATTAAAACCCCCCCCCCCCCCCCCCCCCCCCCTTCAGTTCCCCCCTCCTCCACCCTTATCCGTCCGCCTTTGAACACCTGGTAGTGATTAGACTCTCTTGCATTTGTTCACATTCCAGACGGCTAGGCATCAGAGAGGCTTCCAGTGGGGTTTTATGTTGTGTTTGCAGAATTACATCTTCTCTGCCTTCATATGGAGGTTTGGCATGATCTTTGTGTGTTTTGCGGATAGTGATCATATCACTGTTCAAAACAATGTCAGTCAACTCCTGCAACAATCAGAGGCTATTCAGCAACATGCCAATTCTCACTAGGGCACACATGTGCTATTAAAATCTTTCATGTTTTCTTTCAACTTTAGTGTGAATTTTAATTGTCTAAAAAGGTTAGCACACATTCCCTGTAAAATATTATTTGTGGTCTGTTTTTATTATTGCGTCTTTTGTCTACAGAACACTTTTTCTCTCTTTTTTTTTTCAGGATTCAATGAAAATGTCGGTCTGTGTCCACGAGAACCGCAAGTCTCGTGCCAGCACAGGCTCTATGAACATCTACCTGTTCCACAAGTCTTCATATGCTGACAGTGTGCTAATGCACCTAAATGCTCTTCGTCAGCAGAGACTCTTCACTGATGTTCTGCTCCATGCAGGAAAACGCTCTTTCCCGTGCCACAGGGCTGTGCTGGCCGCCTGCAGCCGCTACTTTGAAGCAATGTTCAGCGGAGGGCTGAGAGAGAGTCAGGACAGTGAAGTGGACTTCAGGGACTCCATTCATCCAGAGGTATTGATGAAGTGCTTGAATTTGTATAGAAGTAAAAGAGTGTGAAACGGAGAGTTCACCCAAAAATTCAAATTCTGTTTTTTTTACCCACGTGTGGGTCATGTGGGTCCAAACTTGTATGAGTTTCTTCTGTGGAATACAAAAGATCCGTTATTGTAAGCTACTCTAATTTACTGGTCAACACATTATTGATTGAAGAGTACTGAAACCTTGGAGTAGCTCTGGGGTTGAATAAGGTTGAACATCAGGAATCGGGCTGAACATCAGGCATTTGCAAATCAACTGTTTCATGGTTTTCAAAGTAACTTGTATTGCAGTTTGACTGCAAAAATTAGAGGTTGTCACTTTATTTAGGTTAACTTTGCATTTAATCATTGCGTTTTATTGCATTGTCTAGGTATTGGAGCTCCTTCTGGACTATGCGTACTCCTCAAGAGTGATCATAAACGAGGAGAACGCAGAGTCTCTCCTTGAGGCCGGTGACATGCTGGAGTTTCAGGACATCCGTGATGCCTGTGCCGAGTTCCTTGAGAAGAACCTTCACCCATCCAACTCCCTGGGCATGTTGCTGCTCTCAGACGCTCACCAGTGCACCCAGCTGTTCCAGCTGTCCTGGAGCATGTGCCTCAGTAACTTCCCTGCTATTTGCAAGACTGAAGAGTTTCTCCAGCTGCCCAAGGACATGCTGGCCCAACTGTTGGCACACGAAGAGCTCGAAACCGAGGACGAGCGTCTAGTCTACGAGTCGGCACTTAACTGGGTGAACTACGACCTTGAGAGGAGACACTGTCACCTTCCTGAGCTGCTCCGTACTGTGCGTCTGGCTCTCCTGCCTGCCATCTTCCTCATGGAGAACGTCTCCACGGAGGAGCTCATCATCGCACAGGCTAAAAGCAAAGAGCTGGTGGATGAAGCCATCCGCTGCAAACTGCGCATCTTGCAAAATGACGGCGTCGTCAATAGTCCTTGTGCCCGGCCACGCAAGACCAGTCATGCCCTTTTCCTGTTGGGTGGCCCCACGTTTATGTGTGACAAGCTCTACCTGGTGGACCAGAAGGCCAAAGAGATCATTCCAAAGGCAGACATCCCCAGTCCACGCAAGGAGTTCAGCGCCTGTGCCATTGGCTGCAAAGTGTACGTGACGGGGGGCCGTGGCTCAGAGAACGGTGTGTCTAAGGACGTTTGGGTGTATGATACGTTACAGGAGGAATGGTCCAAAGCAGCTCCGATGCTGATAGCACGTTTCGGTCATGGTTCTGCTGAGTTACGCCACTGCCTCTATGTCGTTGGAGGTCACACAGCTGCCACTGGATGCCTGCCTGCATCACCATCTGTGTCCTTGAAGCAGGTAGAGCAGTTTGACCCAGTTGCTAACAAGTGGAGCATGGTGGCACCGCTGCGAGAAGGAGTTAGCAATGCTGCTGTCGTCAGCGTAAAGCTGAAGTTGTTCGCCTTCGGAGGGACGAGTGTGGCCCATGACAAGCTGCCCAAAGTTCAGTGCTACGATCCCTCAGAAAATCGCTGGACAGTCCCAGCGTCCTGTCCACAGCCGTGGCGCTACACCGCAGCTGCTGTTCTCGGCAACCAGATCTTTGTAATGGGAGGTGACACCGAATTCTCTGCTTGCTCTGCCTACAAATTCAGCAGTGAGACTTATCAATGGACTAAAGTTGGAGATGTTACGGCCAAACGAATGAGCTGCCAAGCGGTGGCCTCTGGAAACAAACTTTATGTGGTGGGTGGCTACTTTGGTACACAGCGCTGCAAAACCCTAGACTGTTACGACCCCACACTGGATGCCTGGAACAGCATCACTACTGTACCATATTCCTTAATCCCCACTGCCTTCGTCAGCACCTGGAAACACCTCCCAGCCTGAAGCACGCCTGTTCTCCCCTGTGTGACTCTACTGTCCTACGAGGTAAGTCATGCAGTCTAAAAAAAAAAATCACCAGACATGCTACTTTTTTGTTCTTTTATAGAATGGGGTTGCAATAAATAGCAGTACCAAATCAGTAATCTAATGATATTAGATTACACTGCAGCTGCTGTTCTCGGCAACCAGATCTTTGTAATGGGAGGCGACACCGAATTCTCTGCTTGCTCTGCTTACAAATTCAGCAGTGAGACTTATCAGTGGACTAAAGTTGGAGATGTTACGGCAAAACGAATGAGCTGCCAAGCGGTGGCCTCTGGAAACAAACTTTATGTGGTGGGTGGCTACTTCGGTACACAGCGCTGCAAAACCCTGGACTGTTACGACCCCACACTGGATGCCTGGAACAGCATCACTACTGTACCATATTCCTTAATCCCCACTGCCTTCGTCAGCACCTGGAAACACCTCCCAGCCTGAAGCACGCCTGTTCTCCCCTGTGTGACTCTACTGTCCTACGAGGTAAGTCATGCAGTCTAAAAAAAAAATCACCAGACATGCTACTTTTTTGTTCTTTTATAGAATGGGGTTGCAATAAATAGCAGTACCAAATCAGTAATCTAATGATATTAGATTTTTTTTTTAAATCTACAGTATTCATCTTAAAGTTAACCTTTTAAATGTAGTAATTTAATATCACTGTTAAATGTAATCTTTATCAAATGTCAATCTAGTCAGAACATCCCATTTTCATACTGTACATCATAAAGTTGTGATGTCTAAATTAGTTTAAAATGAAATGGCAATTCTAAATTGTTTTATTTTAAATGTATCTAGATAAAATAATATATAATTTTAATATGTGCCATTTATCAGTAATCATTTGTCAGCCATAACATGTAATTATTGGTATAAGCCAGAATTTGTATAACCCTGTCTGTATATTTGAGCATTTTATGTATTAGGATCAGTCTCCGTTTCATTTCATGGTGGACATTTATCCAGAAAATCACACTGTTGTTTACATTCTGTCTACAAGTGCTGTATGAGCTTATGTTTGCACGGTCAAAAGACTGGAATACATTTTAAGAGAATTTGGCTTTGGAACGCGAAGGAATTTCAGAGGAATGAGATTCACCCAACCCTTGTTAGTTAAAGTCATGAACCTGTTTCAGATCATATTTGCTAATTGTTTTTTTCCCAGAACATTTTTAACTCTAATTATAAAAATTCCAATGCTGTGGTTTCCGTACACAGAACCCTCTTTGTAAGTATACTGACACATTGAAAAATTCCTGTGCACAATTTTACATGGCTCTTTGTGTTCATATGTACACTGTTGTTTCATTTCATGGTGGACATTTATCCAGAAAATCACACTGTTGTTTACATTCTGTCTACAAGTGCTGTATGAGCTTATGTTTGCACGGTCAAAAGACTGGAATACATTTTAAGAGAATTTGGCTTTGGAACGCGAAGGAATTTCAGAGGAATGAGATTCACCCAACCCTTGTTAGTTAAAGTCATGAACCTGTTTCAGATCATATTTGCTAATTGTTTTTTTGTTTTTTTCCCAGAACATTTTTAACTCTAATTATAAAAATTCCAATGCTGTGGTTTCCGTACACAGAACCCTCTTTGTAAGTATACTGACACATTGAAAAATTCCTGTGCACAATTTTACATGGCTCTTTGTGTTCATATGTACACTGTATTTGGATATAGAGATTTCATTTATCCCTCATGATCTGCCTCGTGCATACATTGACAAAGAACCTTATGAAAATCAGTGGCAAATTGAGTATTGACCGAACAATTAGATTGTCTTAGGAAGTAGAGAGGAAGAAAACGGCAAGGCAGCATGCTATGAATATTAACCAGGTCAACATGGCTCATATGCAAAATCAGATATCTTTCTTTTCAATCTCTGTTTCCTAGTGCTTTTTGTGTTCTTTCATTCCTTGACTGATGGTCTTTTTGCTGTTTTCCTCCTCCGTTTCTGTGAGGAGATTCTTCTGTTGTGTGTATATAGGTGTACTAATCTCAACATTACGCTTTAGTCGATAACTTTCAAAGCTAGTGCATTAATGTATGTTTAATAATAGGTTGCTACAGATGTCACGTTTACTGAGGGTCCAAAAAAATAGTGGCTATTAAGCATTGAGCCTTGCTCAGTCTCCAGCAAAACAGGCTTCGGTCACAGCAGGACTGCATCGGAAAAGGCATCAGGCTTTCCAGGATCTACCTCACAGCGGTGATCTGCCCAGCGATGCTGTGTGTGCGCTCGCTCTGTCTTGTCCGGCTGATACAGATACGCTGCTGTATCTGATCAGTCTCCAGACTGTGAGGGGGAAAACAATTACAAATTCTAGCTTGAGAGAATTCAAAGCCTTGGTCTTTGAGCTGGAGATTCAAGCTCCCCCTACCAGAGAAAGATCATAGGCTACACCTGAATTTCAATGTGTGTGTGTGGGCACATGCACATTTTCTCACGTAAAATTTAGATCCGGAGTAAAACTGCATGTTTGTGTGTCTCTGTTGTGAGGAGGCGGCTTGCGGTAGGGCTGAATGAGTTATGAGTGTGCAGTGAGGGGCGTTGCACCGAGGGTAATTGAAGCAGAATAGAAGACTTTTATTGTTCCTGAGGGGGAAATTTGTCTGGGGGTGGAGGAAGCAGGAAAGAGAGGTAGGGCAAATAAGGGAGGAGGGAGGGTTCAGAGGAAAGACGGAGAAAGAAATGGTGAGGTGTGTTGTATTTGGATGAGCAGTGTGTTGACAACATGGAGCATGGAGTCTGGGCAACAGTTTAGTACCTTTGCAGTAGGCTTTTTCATTGTTCAGCTTCAGTCTTTGTCTGTCTGAAAATATATGCTACAATACATAATCAAATATTTGAACGAGTAAATGGACAATGTGCATCAGTTGTTCAGTTAATTTGTGCAGGAAGTGTAGTCATTTTAATGGGAATCTATGTGAAGGCATAATAATTCTCCATGTAGTTGGGTGCCCAGATTTGAATAGTTGACTGGCAAATATCATGAATTTGTCATGAAACGCGTGTTCGTGCTGGATGAAGCAGACCTACACTTGCATTATGTAGATTTAAAAATATGTAGACAAAAAATTACTAATACAATTCAAGTCCGACTAAAGCATTTATATGATTTAACTGCAATATGTATCTACTGGGACTGGTTAATCATTGATGAAATGAAGATGGTGAAATAGACATGCTTGTTTGAAATGTACATTGAAAAAACACAGTATCTGGTAAAACAAAATTGTATTCAAAAGATCGTAGCTGTAGTAAAAGGTCAGAGATCAGTGTAAAACCCACACTTTTGCCGATTCACTTGATTTCTAGTCAGAAATCGTTTGGCTTGACTCGTGTGTATATATTGCTTAACTTTAGAGTAAAACATGCATAAGTAAATGAGATGAGGTAATTCAGATGAGTCATGGCTGTTGTTTTCCATAAACTGTTTCTGTATCGTCAATCACCGTGTTTTGCAGTGTGCTGAAATCCTTGTGATTCAGACTGCGATGGGAGTTTCAGTGCAAAGCAAAAATCAAACTGGATGCATTTATATTCTGTGAGTATAACTGGGAAATTAGAGAACACGTAAACAATATTTTCATTCTTATTTGATGAGAATAATTTCAAAGAGCCATTGTTGAAAAATAGAAGAGAAAGAAATGGAGGGTTTTTATATTTAGCACTTTATTCTTTTAGTGAAAGCATCTTACAATAGAAAGATTCATCTCTGCCAGGGAGAATGAAATTAATATTTTATGCATTAATTTCTCCTCTCCCTTCATGGCTGGTAATCAGTCTGACTGTAGCAAGAACAGAATAACACATAAATACTGATAGAGTGAATCAAACTCCAGGACAGTAGACTAAATAAAATGAGCACCAACTTAACTTCCTCCTCACTGAAGAACAAACTGAGGCAGTCCTCCACACTCATTCCATTCCTGACCCTTTGGCACTGGTCATTTAGCTTTGCTTTTAAAGTGTGTGTGAGAGAGTGAGAAATGCCGCCCACCTTGACCGGGCAGTTCATTTCAAAGTGGTGGTCCTTCCTTTGTTCACTGAGCCATTCCTATGCATTTAAAAGACCATGAAGTGTTCTAAGCAAGCTTCCTCCCTACTAACAATGAGGAGCCTCACTGCTGGCCAGAGGAGTGGGAGGAGAGAGAAGACCGAGATGAGGGGAGAGGGGGAGGACTGGATAAGGGAGGGTAAACAAAGATTTTCAGTCTTGCTCTTTCTTTCTCTCCAACTGGCTGTGTTTTCTCACACTCAAGCTCCTGCTATCTTTCTCCCATGGGAATGCATCTGGTTACAGAAATCCTCCCTTTCCTACGTACAGACACACTGCTCTCTTTATCTCTTATCTTTTCCCTCTCTCTGTGAAAGCGTTTTTTGCACAAATGTGCTGTTGAACTCCGCAAAGGTTCAGGGATGTTCTTCGCTGAAGAATTGCATTCAGCGACGGATATACCAGAACGGATAGTATAACAAACTACATATCTATATGTACAGGTATTTTATTTTTTTTCTCAAAGATTGTGAACAACAAATAGCCTCAGTCTTTAGCACTTTGTATAGAGGGTTCTTAATGTGGGTTTCTTTCAGTCGGACTTTAAAAATTAAGGTCATAATCTCAAAATATTAGAAAAATAATAATAAAATGGTAATCAAAAAAAGTAATCAAAATATCAGTTAACCGATTGTTAACCGTTTTGAGATGATCACATAGAAGTGTTTATCTCCTAGTTTGTCAGGTCTGTCAGCTTTAACTTAAAAAAAAAAAATCAATAAAAATAAAAATTGGAAAACGTTACGTGGAATAAATACAAAATATGTATACTACCATTTAAAAACTTTGGGGTTGGTAAGATATTTAAAACATTTTTTTTTTATTCTTGTATGCTCACAAAGGTTGCATTTATTTGATAAAAAATGCAGTAAAACAGTAATAAAGAAATATTATAATTAAATTACTTTTTTTTTTATTAATGTGATGGCAAAGCTAAATTTTCAGCAGCCATTATTCCAGTCTTCAGAGTCGCATGATCCACCACAAATCATTCTAATATGTGACCCTGGATCACAAAACCAGTCTTAAGTCGCTGGGGTATATTCTTCGCAATTGCCAAAAAAAACAGTGTATGGGTCAAAATTATCGATTTTTCTTTTATGCCAAAAATCATTAGGATATTAAGTAAAGATCATGTTCCATGAAGATATTTTGTAAATTTCTTACCGTAAATATATCAGAACTTAATTTTTTATTAGTAATGCATTGCTAAGAACTTAATTTGGACAACTTTTAATGGCGATTTTCTCAGTATTTTCATTTTTTGGCACCCTCAGATTCCAGATTTTCAAATAGTTGTATCTCAGCCAAATATTGTACTATCCTAACAAACCATACATCAGTGGAAAGCTTATTCATTCAGAAAATTAAAAAAAAATGGACCCTTATGACTGGTTTTGTGGTCCAGGGTCACTTATGCTGATTTGATGCTCCAAAATCTTTTCTTACAATTATCAATGTTGAAAATGGTTGTGCTGCTTAATATCTGTATGGAAATAGTGATGTTTTTTTTTTTAATGAAATGATAGCTAGTTCAAAATGATAGCTGTCAGTTTTTTTTAGAACAGCAAAGGAAATAAGGTTAAATGGTTTCTTTAAAATACAAGGACCGCTTTGAGACAGAAAATATTATTAGCTTAATATAAAAGCAATGGAAAAACCTCCACTATGGTTAAAACTAAGCTTGTATGTCAGTACTGAAACTCAGACTGACCTTGGGTTTCTTTGGGTTGTAAGGGTCCTGTAGAGCTATCTGAGAAATGTGACATCCACAGCTGCTCTCAGAACAGCTGGAACTGTCACCAGCATGTTGTAACATTGACTGTCCCTTACAGTGCAGCGGTGCTGTTAACATTATGATTGGATTAGGAATGTCACAGACACCTTGCTGGATGCACGCTTAAAAAAATAAAAAATAAAAATAAAAACAAACCACGTTTAAACATTTTCTTTAAAATACAAGGACAGCTTTGAGACAGAAAATATTATTAGCTTAATATAAAAAAAATAGAAATCAATGGAAAAACATCCACTATGGTAAAAACTAAGCTTGTATGTTGCTGCGCGTGTCTAAGAGTGTGAGCTGCACATACGCTCGTGTGTTTATACCAGACTTGTGTTTGGCGGGTGTGTGGGAGTGGAGGGAGGTCATTAGTCTAAGCTGTGTTCATTCACCGTCAACTTCATGCTGCTTAGATGAAGTGCCATGGTTCACCGAACATTTTGTCTTCAAAAGCAGCTCTGTAGAATCTACACGCAGCCGGCCCTGGGATCGATGGAGGGATGGATTTGGCTTTGCCCCCCTTCCAGTCTCTTTGGGCGTCTGTTTGAGTGGGTTTTAATTGGCAAGCGGTTCTTCTGTAACTGCAGGGCTCTTCTGCCCTTTACTGTCATTTTATATGAACTGTATGCAGAACTTAAAAGAAGAAAGTGGGAGTTGTGAAGGAAAAGGGAGAGAAAGTGTGCTAACGACTTGATTTGGTTGCTCTAGGGGACATCTACTTTCAAATGATCACCTCCACTTCATTTTTCTCCTTTATTTCAAGCTAGAGGCCCTGAGAGAGAATATGTGACTTCAGAATGGATATTGACCTTTGCAGAAGCTTAAGGCTGTAAAACGATAGTAGAGACAAAGGCAAAGAGGAAAAACATACTGTATTACGTTTTGGTGCAACAATGGGCAGACGAGGAAGCCTTTGTTGCACTACATTTAGTTGTGCTCTAGGTTCCTAAATGCTTCTTTGTTAATTGAATTAATACCGTCAATGATCTAGCTGAATGCAGTGTTTAAAAGAGTGCAGGCCTCTGTGTGTGTGTGTATAATGTCTTTTGGCTTGTGTCTGCTGTTGAACAGGTGTTGAGGGTCTGACCTGTTCTCTCCTTTTTGTTTTCCTTGAGAGGAAAAAGAAAAGATAAGGACCAAATGGTCTGGTTCAGTGTCTGAATTTATATTTGAGACGTTGTTCTTTCCTGAAATGCATGAGTGAATGTATGGCATAAATGTGAAGTAGTCTAGCTTTTAAAAAGTAGCATTATGAGGAAAAAAAACTGTTGAAATTTAAATTCCTAATGTGTTTTTGTTTTCTTATTTCCACAGAGTTCTTTGTGTCCGTTTGTCGTTATTGTCTACTGGGTTCCAACTGTGAAGAGACGCTATAACCTTCCTGTGCAATTTTATGAAGAGACTTTCTCCCATAAGAGCTAAATATTGTGTACGAAGTCCAGCCTCAAAGCTTTTTTTCCCGCTGCTTCACCGGTTCACCAGTTGTTTTCTTTTCTTTTTTTTTTTTTACTTCAAGTACATTGCGACGTCATATCCTACATTTTGTGGAGTATCAGAAGGTGGACTTCACAGTGAAAACCAAAAGAACTGCAACGCACTCTGAAAGTCCAGTCTGCTTCCATCGTAACCAGCATATTTGTCACCTTCATCCCCCACATTTGTGTACTCTGACCATTTTTTTTGTACAATGCTGATGCCATGCAAGCTAAAACAGACCCGTATGCCTGTCTTAATTTTGTATACTGCATGAAGGATGAGTGGAAGCTGCTTCATTGGGAGATCAACAGGACTCTCAATGCATGATTGGAGATGTTAAGATACTCCAGGAAAAGTACCTCATGTCCTGATATGTATCTACCTTTTCTTCTCCCATGGTGATGTTAAAAAATAGACCTTGCTCAGAAGAAGAAAAGTTGATGCAGACTTTAAATGAACTGATAAACATCATATTTTGCTGGGTTAATAATTATAACGACATGAGCAAGCCTTTTTTTTATTATTATTTTTTTTTATATATATAAAGTATTTTTCCTTCACATGTCTGTACAAGGAGGACAGGCTGATGCTGAACTGTTCCAGCAGCTTGGTGTGAAAATGGACACAGGCACAGTGTGTCCCAAGGTACATGTGCCAGCTGTGCGTTTGCGACTGAGTGAGTGCGGAAGAGGCATGTCCCAGTATGTTCGTTTGAACGAGAGTCCATCTGACCCCACTCGACACCCGATCATACTCCCATCCCCTCCAAAATATACAACCGACAAACAGTATGAGCATGCCCTCTGAGAAAGCACCAACAAATACTGTTTCCTGCTTCTGATGACTGACCGACTAGAGTTTCACATTTCTCCTCCACAAGACTTCAATTGTGCGAGACACTTCTGCGTTGCAGTTTTTGCCTGTACTATTCTAAGCACATACAGTCACGGTAAACGTGAACGACAGAAGGAGAGAGAAAAGAGGTGAGAGTCATTTCGTCACACTGTGAGGGAATGCAGTCTCTATGGCAACAACAAAACTGTAAAATTAAAAAAAGGACAAGAAAAAAGTGCAAGAAACTGGTCGTCTGGCTTCACATATTTCAGTGTCTGTTAATAGTCTTAATTTATTATTTGTTTTAAGCAGTTTGTTTTGTTTGATCCATTGTGTATTAACTATTTCTTTATTTATTGTTAATTTTTCTGCTTGCGTACATGTTTGGATGTATAGAAGCTGACACGTTTTTGTACCGCGCATGGCCCAAAATGCTCTGTGTTCCTGCTGCTCTTTTGCACATTTACATAAGGTAATTTTGACTGAGCAGGTGGAATTTGTAGTGGTCAGGGAACTCTTGAGACTCTTGCTCATCTGATCAAAAACAGGGAGGCTTGGGGGTCAAAGGTCATTGACAGGATAAGAATGGGCCGAATGACGTCACAGGCTCAGATTACCCAGGGTGGGCAGGTCAGCAGATGGGGGAGTTGCGAAGTGGTTTTTCGAGTTTTGGGATGGCAAGGAAAATTCTTCAAAAGGGAGGGGGGGGGCGGCGCGCAGTTCACACAACAATGAAAATTGTCATCTTGTACTCGCCCTCAGAATGGTAATTTTTGGGTGAACTATCCTGTAAACAACACAACCAGTTGAGTTGGGTCCTTTAAATGAAGCAATTGAAATTAAAAATCTGATGAGCTTTAAGATCAGTTCATCTGGTTGTGATGGTGCTCTGACCTGCATCAATTGTTGGTTAACTTATACAATATAGTTTGACCTCAAATCTCCATTTAAAAAGCATTGAGTTTCACTTACTAGAACATTAGTGTAGTTTAGCTAGTGCTTTCGACAAGTGCCCAGTGACCCCATGCCAAACTTGGGCCAGTATTCAGCCTCTGTAAACCTGCTCTGCATCCATCACTCTGTCAGTACTGAAACTCAGACTGACCTTGGGTTTCTTTGGGTTGTAAGGGTCCTGTAGAGCGATCTGAGGAATGTGACATCCACAGCTGCTCTCAGAACAGCTGGAACTGTCACCAGCATGTTATGACAATGACTGTCCCTTACAGTGCAGCGGTGCTGTTAACATTATGATTGGATTAGGAATGTCACAGACACCTTGCTGGATGCACGCTTAAAAAAAAAAAAAAACCTTGTTCAGACTGTCAATGCTTTTTCACGTTCTCACACCACGTAAAAAGTAAAACACGTCAGACGTTGTTTGTAAAAAAAAATATATGCTGAACTTCTTTGCAGAAACCAGGTTGTGTTGTTGTGAATGGCAAGTCAAGTGGAAAATGACAATATACTGCTTGTCTACCCACCTCTTTGAGTTTTGAGATGGAATAAAGCCGCACATGCAGCCCCATGTAAACATGTCGCCATGTTGTAAGACAACATCTGTATTGTTTTTATTGTTGTTTTTAGCGTAGACATATCACAACGTCATTGCCATTGAAACCAATGCAGATATTGAGTAAAACGAAAGCGTGCCATGGACAGACAAATCAGAATTGAGCAGTTGTGATGCACAGTGTGGACCGTCAGTCATTTAGACCGGATTCCAATCGGATATGAACAAAAATCAGATTTGGACTGACCGTCTGAACAAGGCTAAATATACAGGTTCCAAAAGGTTTTTTTTCTCACAGTGATGCCATAGACAAACCATTTTGGGTTTCCCAAATAACTTTTCAGTGGATAGATTCTTCCAAGAATCTTTTTTTTTCCCCTTACACCGTGTCTACGCTGGACACGAACGATGCATTGCACAAAAGCAAATAGAGCCCATTATAAACAGCGATACAGTCTACACTGGATGCGACATGACATAGACTATGAACTTATTCCCTGTTATATTTCTGACACTACTTCCGACAACAGTACAAATGGATTCTGAACTTTTGCTTTGCATTCATTGTAGATGGCCTCTAGCTGTTGCTGTGTCTACCCTATGTAGACGCAGTGTTAGTTTGAAGAAGATTTTAATAATCTAAAGAACCCTAGTTGTCAATAAAGAACCTTTATTTTTAAGAGTCGATGTTAGTTGCTACAGTCTGTGACATAAAAAGTGATTATTTAATCAGGCAAAATTAGTGATGATGACCAAAATGGTGTTTATTATGATAAAGCTAAATCCCAAAGGTCTCAAAATATCTAAGGCTGATGTCTACATAAGGGCAAAGACCATAGTGCTTACATGTCAATGTCAAATGCACTGCCTGTAGCGATGATCTGTCTGTTTGAATATTCACTGCAGAGTGACACAGTGACAACGGTTTCTGGGTAGGTTGAATAACACCACTGGCAGTTTACTACGCTTATAGCTGTTGTTACAACTCTGATCTATATGCTGCAAGCCCATTATATAGCTTTATATTAATAGAATATAGTATTCTATGTTGTTCAATTGCACAGCGACTGCAAAGTTGAGGAAAATCGGTAGGAAGCATTCCTCCCAAAACCCCTCTCATCTCCGGAAATTCTTGCTTACAATGTTCCGATTAGTCTTGAGGGTCTTACACCCCCTCCCTCCCTCCTTCCAGAATACCTTTTCACAGAACACTGCACACTCTGACCTCCAGCCAATCAAAAAACCCTTTCTACCCCCCTGGTATAGCACAGTTGCCACAGCGATGGTCAACAATCACTGCTCCCCTCTCCATTTGAACTAGTAATAGTCAAGTGTTTTATTTTTCTCTCTTACTCTTTTGCCCTCTCTCCTCCTGCTGAAGTGAAAGATTGATTCGGAGGTGACTCATAAGCCCGTGTGCATTGAGAACTCTTAAACGCTGTATGCCTTCACAGACGCATTGCTAAAACTCTGTCAATGTTGGGCTGTACTGTTGTTTTTGTGCGTGTCATTTTCTTTTCATTTCTATATTTGTTGTATTATATAATTGTTTTATTTTATCTCAACCACTGCGGTTTACATTATTTTGTACAAGTGATTTTTTTCACAATGTGAAATTCATGGCTAAATAAAGATAAGAGTTTTTCCTCTTGATCGATATAAAAGCTTATTGCATTCTTCAGGTTTTCCTGACAATCAAAAATACTTCAGGATTCTAAAAGAATGTACGGAAGTTAAGTTTTCCTTTTATGCAGAGAAATGAAGCTTTTAATTCCAGCGGGCTTATTTGGAGCCCATTAAAATATTTGCAGGCAGCACTGGTCTGTACAACGTATTAAATGGGTGTGTGTGTGTGTATTAAGGCCCCCTGTAAATGTACAGAAAAGGCTGAGATCATCTTGTTGTGTGTGTGTGTGCGCGCGCAAGACAGGAAGTAACAGCCATTCGTGACCCTTAAGATACTTCCCGTTTTATTCCAGTGTTGCTGTGGCAACCCTGACCATTATCCGCAAACTCTGGCAGCTGATGTGAAACATGAAGAATTTAAAAGAACTCCACCACAGGGCTCCTTTTCTTGTCCTCTTTCCATTTTTTGTGGAGGTTCCTCCTACGTTCTTTATCATCCTGTTACCTTATTCCTTTAATATCAAATAACCATGCATGGTCTATTTTTAACCATTCAATACATTCTGCATCCTGCCCACAATTACCAGGTCTACCATGAGTAAACAGACACACAGTGACACCATGTTACAAACCTGCTCGTCCTGAGGACAGGAATTTTCTCTCTTACTCTTTTGCCCTCTCTCCTCCTGCTGAAGTGAAAGATTGATTCGGAGGTGACTCATAAGCCCGTGTGCATTGAGAACTCTTAAACGCTGTATGCCTTCACAGACGCATTGCTAAAACTCTGTCAATGTTGGGCTGTACTGTTGTTTTTGTGCGTGTCATTTTCTTTTCATTTCTATATTTGTTGTATTATATAATTGTTTTATTTTATCTCAACCACTGCGGTTTACATTATTTTGTACAAGTGATTTTTTTCACAATGTGAAATTCATGGCTAAATAAAGATAAGAGTTTTTCCTCTTGATCGATATAAAAGCTTATTGCATTCTTCAGGTTTTCCTGACAATCAAAAATACTTCAGGATTGTAAAAGAATGTACGGAAGTTAAGTTTTCCTTTTATGCAGAGAAATGAAGCTTTTAATTCCAGCGGGCTTATTTGGAGCCCATTAAAATATTTGCAGGCAGCACTGGTCTGTA